ACAGACCATGTGGTGAGCAGCCCAGTGCTTATTCCACATTCCCACCAAGGCTGAAGTTCAACTGGGTTTCCAAGGTGGAAATCCTCTTACAGAAAGATGTGTGGGTTTGAACCACTGACCTTTTGGTTAACAGCTGACCACTTAACTTCTGTACCACCAGGGATGCTTTCTCATCTCTCTAAAGGGGGAAGCATCTTTCTTTCCTCACAGCGTTGATGCATGTAAAGTTATAAGGGACTCATCACCACGATTACTAATGCTATTTGTTTTCTGCAAAAGGACTTAGAACTCACTTAGTTAACAGTCCCAGTGGTCCAACGTTGCAACCTCTAGATTCTCAAATTGTTTCCAAAAATGTTTAAATACTGAGCATTTTTCTCCCCCTCCTAACTTTGGCTCACTCTAACCATTACACGCTTCTAAAAAAAATGGGTTACTGGTTGTTCTTCGGTTCGTCATGAACATAGTTGATGGGAAAGGCTTCTTTCTAAGCGAGTGTTGGTGGTGCTGTGGGTGAGGGAAACATGAGGCTGTGTGCTCCGATACAGAATTTGGGTCTCTGAAACCCTATGTGAGGTTGCTATGAGGCAGAATTGACTCTATGCCAGCGGGTTTGCATGCTGCTATCCGGAGCCCTGGTGGTCCAATGGGGTAAATGCAGGACTTGCTAACAGAATGATCAGCATGTTGAAGCTCCAGGGGACAAAGCTGCGGCGATCTGCTTCCTTCAAGATTCAGCCTTGGAAACACTGTTCTGCAGGATCGCCGTGAATCAGAATCAAGTTGATGGCAACCAGTTAACACTGTCGTTCCATATGCTTTCTCTGATTCAAAAGTGCGTTGCCAGTATGTCAAACCTTTTCTTAGGTTTGCTCCACTTCAAATGTTCTGTAATATCTGCAGCCAACACAGTTTACAATGGCAGAAGCGTTGCAGATGGCTGTAAAGAGGAAAAAAACAGGTCTGCAGACACCAATGGCCTCTTTCCCCATCATGTACAGGTGGAATGGTTGGCATCTGATGGCCTTTCCATTTAAAATCAGCAGCAAAGGCCCCAGTAACCATGGCTGTGCTTCTGAATGGATATAAGATAAGATCAAGCAGGCAGATAGGACCTTATTTATAGATAGAACCTTTTTTTTCCTGGTAGAAGAGAAATTCACTGAGGTGTGGTATTTTTAAAAATAGCCCAAGACAAAGTTATGCTGACCCTGAGAACAGTTTCCTGTATGATTCATTGTGGGCCACTAAGTGATTGTCCTTAAAGACGTACCAAACGTGGGCTGCCAGTTGACTGCATCTTCCCTCCCGAGAGTCATACTTCTCATCTGCAAATCATGTTGCGTATATTTGCCCTCCGAGATCAGAGATAACAAAAGCATCTTTAATTATTAAAATCTCATCATTCATCGGCTTAGTTTTTTTCAGGAAAAGTCAGAATTACCAAGTGACTTTTTGCTTTGTCTTTATGATGTCGGGAACACATCTTAAAAAAAAAATTCCCTAGGGTTTTCATGTTTTGTTTTGTTTTTTCTTTTAGAAGTGATTTCCCCTCTTTTCTGTTTGTCCCAGGAACCGACTTGATGGTCATCACCCCCAACAATATAGCCCCCAAATCAATGACTTGCAATTTATGCTTGCTCATTGCTTAAGCCAACTTTCATTAGCAATCACAAAACCCATGGAGCACAATCTCTTGAGTCAACTAATCTTTTGGCACACACACTGTCTATCTGGACAGCAGGGAAATCGCAGTGTCAGATCTAGTTTATGACACCTGGTGACCGTGTAGCCTCCAGTATTGCTACTTTCAAGAGAGTCACAGTCCCTGACGACTTCTGTATCTGTTTGGAATGCATGACCTGAGGAATTCCCGACCTGCATTGCATCTCTTTTCTTTTCATGTCGTAGTTTACCTCTAAATTTTGAATCTTCAAATTCCCTCAGGGGCAGAGAGGGTGAGCTGCCCAATTGTTAAACTGTGTAGAATAGGTTCCTGTCGCTTTCCCTTCCCCTTGAAGCAGGAGAAGTCATATTAAAGTCCTTGCCTCGCTGTCATGCTCTAAATGTCCTCTTGTCTTCCAACGGTGCAATCCATTCATTTAAAATGCAACCATTTCCCTTTTCTTCCAGGACACGACAGACTATGTTGCCTACGTAGCTAAAGATCCCGTTAATCAACGAGGTATGGGAAGCAGCTTCTAGATGTCTTAAAGAGCTGGTATACACCGTGTTTGAGAAAGTTACTTACTTTCAACCCACAGAATGATGAAGGTCACCAAAGTGCTGCATCGGGTTCTTGGAATGCTTTGTAAATTTGAGGGGGAAAGAAATAGTCCTACCATCGGAGCAAAGTAGAAAAAATAGAGATGGGATTTAAATCCCAGTCTAGGGAGAGACCCACCAGCCAACAGGCTCATTACCTGCTGGTCTGCTCCAGAGAGAAGCCACACTGGCTGTGACAGAGACGTGGGCTGCCATGTGACGAAGGGACAACTCAATGGGATGGTGTCTGCACCGCTCCCAGCAGTCACTTACATGTGTGTGCGTCTGCATGTGTACAGGTTCATGAGTGATGCATGTGTGCACTCGGATAACTTGGCCTTGTACACTCGCAGCACAACAGCCTGGGATGTCACTTTGAGTGTTTGCTTTTTGTGGTTTCTTCTTTAGGAAAGTGTTCTCTGCTGGATGGCACCTCCTGTCCCTAGTACCACACCTCACTCACACACTCCACCCTATCGCTTTCTGCCTCTTCTACTAACGGATCCACATCTTCCCTTTTTTTTTACTCACTTATTTGTAAGTTTAATGTCCGTCCCTTCCACTAGACTGAAGGCAACACGAGGACACTGGTTTGTCTCGCTCACTGCTAGGTCCCAAGCTCTCATCCCAATGCCCAGGACATGGGCAATCTCCAGAGGAACTTTCTTCAATGACCAAGTGAATGAAAGAGGGAGTTCATTGGATTGCTTATCCCAGGATGGATCAGGTTGCCCCCCCCCCCCCAAACTTACCTCCCAACCTACTTTGGATCAAGGACCTGAGACTTCTCAGACCGTTGGATCCCTCTAGACAGGTCTGGTTAGCATTGTTGCTCTAGGTGTAGCGCTACTATTCAAACTCTTCTTAGGCGAGGAGTATTTAAATTGGTTCTCCCCCTTTGCGAGAACCTGTTCTTAGGTTGGACAGCATTCTGTGCCACCCCAGAGGTGACGTGTCCTCAGAACATTGACTAAGCACATGTGGAGTGAGACGAAGGAATTCAAAGATCTGTAAGACACAGAAGGGGAACTGCTCGTGGCCTACTGGGGAACAAATGGATAGAACACACTAGGACACGGACTAAGCCACTAGTGACAGAAAGGCAGTGGCTTTTCTTGAGGTGCATTGGCTAGGAATCAAACTTAGGTCTCTTACATGGGAGGCAAAAACGATACCATGGAACTACCAAGGTCGTCTTGAGGGCAGAGAGGAGAGGGCTAGTCAATAGGGACCTCATCCTCTGGGCAAGTGGGTGGAGAACGCTGTTTAGAAAATGGAGATAAAGAAAGACTGATTTAAATGAGCCTCAGGGAGAAACTTAGGAAAGGGGACCCATTTGGAAGTGATTGATATAATCAGAAATGAAATGAGGAGGCCAACAGCACATAGTAGATGCTCACTGAGTGTTTGCCAAAAGAGGGTGGCCTCCATGGGATGAACAGGGAGGGCAGGTAGCAAGCACTAAGCAATGCCCCATTGAAACGGAGCCTGGTACATGAAAGGATGAAGGATGGACCAGAATCAAAGGGTGAGTAGGAGGGGGGGTGGCAGGCAGATGGGGGAGTGTAATAAAGGATACCAGAGAGGAGAAATCTCTTTTAAACACCGCCTGAGCTCCCTGAGGAATAACTGCTTGCTATTTTGGGGAAGGCATCTCAACAACAAAGCCTTTTCTCCTAACATGAAAAGGACAAGGCAGAAAGAAGAAAAATTGCTCCAGGAGACGTAGCTGTTTCGTAACTTTGCCGGCTGCCAATCCCACTGAGTGTCTCTGGGCACAGCAGGTGGTCGCTCCTCAGTAGGTGGTGGTGAGGATTTCGGAGATTGATGTTGGTTGCCGAGGGTAGTGACTAAGCAGGCACCACATGCTTGCAAGTCTCCCCACTTGCTTAAGCAAAACAAGGGAGGCCCGGAAAAGGATGATGGACCACGCTTCCCTTTGAAAAGTCCTGCTCTGTTGCCTGCGTAGTAGGTCAGCCTTGAGCTGCTTGAAGGGAGGTCAAGGTGACCCTGCCATGGTGATCTGAAGGAGGCATTTGTGGAGAGATGTCATGAGTGAAATCTGAGGGACCAGAAGATAATAGACTCAAGCTTCTTTTCATCCCATTTTTTTCTTTTTAACAGTTTCATTGGCATATGATTCACATATCATACAATAGCTTAGTCATACTAAATGGAGTTGTACAATCACCACCACAATCAATTTTAGAACATTTTCTTCTTTCTTGTACTCATTATTATTAGCTCCTCACTTTCCCCCAACCTCCCCTGCCATCACTCTAACAAACTATTAAGTTGCTGTCTCTATAGATTTACCTATTCTGGATTTAATATACAGAAAAACATACAAACAAAAGCAATACAAAACAAAAAACTACCAATAATAACAAAATAAACAGCAAAAAACCTCAATCGAAAAGAAAACAGAAAATAATAAAAACTAGAACAAATCTAACATGGGTCCAAAGAGAGAACAAATGATATAGTGTTAAGTATAATGTAACTATATGTGTATTAATCCACTTCCAATGCACTCTGCCTGATACAAGGCTATTCACATCCCTGGTCAGTGGTCAAAGGGGATTCACAGGAAGCTCTATCTAAGTGGGGGCCCTGCAAATGAATTTGGAACTTTCACTGTCACTCACAGCCTTCTGCAAACTGGGTGATCAGAATTTAAGTTCAAATGCAATATGCTCCTCTGATCTTGGATTTTATTATTTACAATCCTTGGATCACACAGGCTGGTGAACTGTTTCCATGTGGACTTAGCGGACACCTCACTTAGATAGCTGCTTGTTCTAAGACAAGGTTTTAAAACCTCAGACACTAATCTTTTTGACACCCATGCATCACCTGATTTCTTCACCACATTTTCCCATACCACACTTATCTTTAGTGATCTCTTTATGAGGGCCACCAGTCTTAGTGGACTAGTTAAAGTTTCAGGTCGTTCTTCCTATATATATTAAGTGACATGAATGCTGGAGTCAGACAGATTGGGTTGGAACCATTAACACCCACCCACCCCCACCCCGCCACTTCACCAAGTGACCTTAAGCAATTTCTTTTCACATCTGTGAACCTTAATTTCTTTATCTTTTAAATGGGACAATAATATCGATTATCAATAATAGATTATCAATAATATCAATAATACCTAAACCAGTGGAATAGAGGGTATAGAAGAAAACCCACACATTTATGGCCAATTAAATTTTATCAAGGTGCTAAGTCCATTCAGTAGGGAAAGAAGAGTCTCTTCAAGAAATGGTGTTGGGCAGGAAATCCAGAGCAGATGGGACCAATAAGGAGAGCAGCGATACTAGGAGGGTAAGGGGGAACCAATCACAATGATTAACATGTGGCCCCCATCCCAGAGGGATGGACAAGAGAAAAGTGGGTGAAATGATACAGCAGTTGGTGTAAAACATGGGGGGGGAAAGAACAATTTATAAATTATCAAGGGGGACATAGGGGAGGGAGGAAGGGTGGGAAAGGGAGGGAGGAAAATGAGGAGCTGATGCCAGGACTCAAGTAGAAAGAAAATGTTTTAAAAGATGATGACAACATATGTAAAGATGTGTTTGACAAAATGGATATATGTATGGATTGTGATAAGAGCTGTAAAAGCCTCCAATAAAATAAAACTATAATAAAAAAAGAGGAACAATATCCCTAGAGACATACCCAGAGGGAAGACAAAGACCAAGAAATCACCAGGAACAGTGAGAGATGCCAAGGAGTGTTGGCAGCTATCAGAAAGTAGGACCTGATTTGGGCCCCAGAACTGTGAGAAAATAAAATCCGTTTCTTGAAAGCAAAAAGAAAGAAATGGTGTTGGGAAACTCAGCTCCCCACATTTGGAACGACAAAGCAGGGTCTATTTTTCCTCTCGGTGCTATTGGGAGGTCTAACTCAGCCAAGACTCGCTTTCTTCCCTCCTTCGTCCTGAATTTCTTTCTTCTTCCGGGGAAAAGGGTTTATGGAGGAGATGAATGGCTTAAAAACAGGGCGATTTCCTTGGATCAAACCACAGTAACTCTTCCATCGTTTACTTCTCCTTTTCCGGCCCCTCCTCCTTGTTTGTTTATCTTAGAGGTTTTCTATGGGAGAACCCACCGTGTTCTCAGCAGAGCCCTAACCTGCATACCCCACCGTTGTCAACTCGGGCACCCCCGGCCTCGACGGGAGCGCTGAGCATGCACGGAGGAGGAGAGCACCCCAGACACGGCAGGGGTGCTGTTGGGGTGTGGGGGGCACCTGGAATACAGGCCCGGGTGGAAGGCTCCAGGGCTATGCACCTGGATGGTGTGTGTGTCTCCGTGTGAGGGTGGAGACAGCGTAGAAAGAAGTCAGGGAGCTGTGGCTGAAAAGATGGGGTTGGGGGCGCAGAACAGACTGAAAGGCCCTGAAGGCCAGCCAAAAGGTCACTGGGAGCCACTGAAGATTTCGAGCTGTGTAAAAGCCATCCCGGCTTTGGCTAGTCTACCGAACTTGTAGAACGATCATTTTCCTGGCAGTCACGTTTGCGAATGTGCAGCCATGCAGGCTGGCATCGTGGTCTGATTCAGAAGCCACCTAATAATCCCGGACAGAGATGGTAATGGTCTAAGCTGTTGTGGGAGAGAGGAAGAGGCAATTTGGACCAAATTTGCGACTTAGTCCTGGTTTCCCTGTGGGCCAGGCATTGGAGCCCAAAGGCACCAGCCCTGATGGAGAAAAAGGAGGCGATCTACCCCAGTGAACTCTCTATAGGCTTCGTCGTCTGAGCGGACTCCAGGGCAATGGGTGTGATGTCTGGCGTGGAAGGAGGTAGTGATATGAACGGTGAGCCATGAGGGTTGATGTAGGAAGATGTTCTTGAGGCCCTAGTCAGATAGTGTGTACAACACACATCTTTGAAGACCTACCTCATAA